CCGCAATTAACAAGGGTGTTGTGGACATGCTGTAGTTAAGCGGCGTAATCTAATTTGCATTAGTAACAAGCAGGGACTAATTAGAAGCTTAATTAGACACTTAGACGGCTCTTGTGTTTACTTTCTTAATGAGATGGAGTGGGGTTCCTTTTTTTTTTTAATCTTTTCAAGAGCACAGCGAGGGAAGCAGGGATGGAGCAGGATGGGGCAGCCGGGCACGTGCTCCAGGATGGAGCAGCAGCCCCGCGGTGCCAACCCCGGCCTGGCCACCTCCAGCCAGTCCCACACCCACTCTGGCAGGGGTTTCGTGTTCCTGGAAGCTTGGAAGGGAGTGGGAGAGGTGCCAGGCAGGTATTGGTGTCTCTGGGAATGTTTGGGATCTCCTGTGGGGTTGGCTGCACTTGGGGCAGCTCTGGAGAGCAAAGGATGCTCCGGGGGTGACAGGTTCTGGAGAGGCAGGTGGGGCTTGCCAGGAGCACAGGAACCATTCCAGGGTTTCCCACATTGGAGTCCTCACAATTCCAGGTGCTCTCCTGTTCTCTGATCCAAGGATCCCCCATTTTTGGGGGGCAGGAGAACCTCGCTGTGGTTCTCTGTGGGGGCCTGAATATATGTTGTATTGTAAGACCTGTGTGGTTCCAAGTTGCTCCAAACGAGCTGCAGCTGCAGGGTCCTTAGTTGGGCAGCAGCTGTAGCTCGTGAAGGTAACTGAGATAAATAGGGGTGGGTCAAGAGCCCAAGAGGAGCCCCTGAGACGATAGAAAGGACTGTGCTGCAGAGAAAGGAGAAGAGCCCCAGCAGAGAGGGAAGAACAACGCTGCAGCAAAGATTGCAACAGTTCTCAGCAAAGGCTCCTCACTGCCTGCCCATCCCTGGTGCCCACGAGTGTAGCTGGGCTGAGCTGGCACCGAGGCAGGTGAGGAGAGCCACGGGGTGAAGGTGAAGCACCAGAGGTTGGCTCTTCCCAAAGAAGTTGCTGGGAGCGAGATGAAAGTGGGAGATGAAAGTGCCCAGAGGTGAGATCCCATTAAAGCAGTGCCTGGGCTTAGCCGGTCCCTGGTTCCTTAAATATCTTCTAATTTACAGTAATGCTCCGGATTCCTCTCAGCTCCCCCAGACTTTTATTTTAATCCCCTTTCCACATTTCCATGTGTTTATGTGTTAATTAAAGGGTAAAAAGCCACTCTTGGAGCAATCCTGGGCTGCTGCTTCTCTTCCAGCGAAGCCTTTTAGGATTAGCAGCCGCTTCCTAAAGCCTGGCGGTGCCGGAGCAGGATGGGCAGGTTGCTCAACTTTCTGTAGCTGGGAGCAGATCCAGGGCCTTGGATCCAGCTTTCCTGAGTCCTCTTCTCCTTCCAGCTGTGCAGAGGAGCATCTTGCAGATTTCTGAGGGCTTTGGGGGGTTTGCTGGGTCTGTGCTCCTTTGGGATCCACCAGTACCCAGGGCCTGCTCCCCTCCGTGTCCTGGCTAGGCTGGAGAAGGGAGGAAGGCTCTGGAATACTGCTTTGGGACTGGGATAGCTCTGAAATCCTGCTTTGGGACTGGGATGTGGTGGGAAGGGTGGAAACAGCCTCTGGAACCTCTCAGTGTCAGTTTGTGTGTCACCTGTGCTGCCCCAGCTCGTACAAAGTTTTCCCAGTGGTATTAAATCCTCATCCCTCCCTCGTGGGTAATGGTTTAGGAGCTCTTGGAGTTTGTGGCTGGGGACACTCAGGGCAGGGTAACCCACAGTGGTGGGGATGGAGGCTCAAGGACAGGGACAGCAGGGTGGAGGTGACGCTGGGTCCATGCATGGCCCACGAAGGGCAGCCCAAAATTACGGAGCTGCCGAGGATAATGAAAAATAGGGAAAGCTGTTGAAATTGGTGTTGGGGCAGTGGTTTCTGAGGAGCTCGTGGTGTGGCTGAGCTGTTCCAGCAGGTCCTGGAGGCTGGGAAGTGCCACTGAATTTTCTGACCTTGGAACAGGTGGAGCAGTGGCATCGCTTGGATCAGGTCTGGATGGGCCAAAATTCCTTGTGAGTTTTTTTGGGGGGGAAATCACTGCTTCACCTGCTCTTGCTGCTCCTAAAATCCCACATCCATTGCTTTGAGCCCGTGGTTTTGGTCACCTCCAAGTTCATCCTTCCCTTCTGGAGGGCTCGGTGGCAGTGCCAGGCTCCTGGCATGGCACACTCATGGTGTTCCCATGGGAATTGTGGCACACACGGTGGGAGCCGCATCCCCAGCCCCTCCCTCCCAGGGAAGCTCCGGGCATCCATCAGCCCGTTAATTGCGCTAATTAGAGAGTGCGGAGGTGTTAATTGGAAAACGCTGGGATCGTGCCTGTTTGCGGGAGGGATGGATGTCAATAAAGCGGGATTGATGGCTGGGATGGAGCGTGCTCCGCGCAGGTTAGCGGCGAGTCGGGGGATGTCAAGGAAATGTTACTGCTCAGATGAAGCAATTGTTAATTAAAAGCCGCGGTAATTAATACACCCTCGTTGCCATATGGTCCTGCCGAAGGCAGGGGGATTCGTTGCTCCGTTTGTAATTCTCCGTTTCCTTCCCTTTGTCCTGCGGAAGGTGCGTGGTTGGATAAAAGGGGGGAACAAAAAACGCGGAGCGGTGGTTCAGCGAGTCTGAAATGGTAATTAATGGTAATTAACGATCCATTTGTGCAGCTTCTGTTGCTGTTGCTGTTGCCGTTGGAGGGGGCTCCTCCCTCCCCTTTTAAGCAAACCCACCCTTTCCCTCTGGATGTGGGTGTTGTTGGATCTTCCCGCTGACTGTCTGGGCCCCGTCCCTGCCGCTGTGCCTGGGGGAAGGTGTGATCCTGGCGAGCCCCTCTGCACGCCGAGGAGGAGAATCCCTGCAACGCTGCTGGTGTTTGAACTGCGAGGGATGAGCAGCAGCAGCGGGGATGCTGCGGATCCCCCCCGGCTCTGTGCAGGGCTGCACGTGTGCTCTGGCATCGCTCAGCCCAGCTCTGCTCTTCCCACTCATCCCAGATCCGTCCTGGCTGGAAAAGTGCTTGTTCCTAATTTAAATCCACTTTATAACCTCGCAGACACCGGCTTCGTTTTTAGTTTTGCTTTTTCTTTTAAGGTTTTGCGAAACTTTTTATGGGAATGGAAATATTGCCATTATTATGATGATGACTTTCTTTTATGACTTCCCTCGCAGCGTTGTTGGGATCCCAGACACTGCAGCATCCCAGAGGGGTTTGGGAACGGGAAGTGGAGTTTTACAGGACTTGGAGAGGGAGCTCAGCTGGCCCGGTGTCCCCAGCTCCGGGAATCACCCTGGCTGCAGGAATCTGCTCCAGCATCCCGCCTCTGGCAGGGGCTGGAACCACCAGAGCGAGCCCACGGCTCCTCCACCAGCAGAGATTTCCTCCTAATTCCCAACAGTTAAACTCCAGTTTATGCCCGAAGCCAGGAAAGTTTTATATCCTTTCCAAAACTGTCTTTATTTCTTTTTTTTTTTCCCCCCTTTTTTAATACTTCCTGTTGTAACTCTGGATATTCCTGTTCTCCATGTAAAAGTCAAATCCCTGCTGGAATCCTGATGAGTTTCTGACCCTGGTGATGCCGTTTGAGGGTCGGACACGAAGCGTTCCCCGTGGGGCCTCGTGGATTTCAGAGGGAAAACGGGAATAGGAACGGCAATAATTTCCTATTTCTGAACTTGAAATCCTTGAAATTCAAAGTGGGGAAGGAAATAATGTAGTTTTAAGGAAAAAGTGAGGGGGTTTATTCCAGATTTTTGCTGCTAAGGTTGGAGCGGCTTCCCATCGTTGTGAAGCGGCTCCAACCAAACCCGAATCTCAATAATCCCCTTAACCTTGAGCTGTCCCACAGCCACCGGTGTGTCACCCCCAGAGCCCTGGGACAGTGGGAGGGAGCCAGGAGCTCCCCTTGGGAATGGATGTCACTCATATCCCCTGCGGAAATGACTTTTGAAATGCAGATAATCTCCAACATGCAAATGAGCAGCTCGCTGCTCCCTGTTTAATATGAATGATCAGCCCCTGAATAGCGATTATTACACGCCACATTTCAGCAATTATGTTGTTCCTGGTTTGTCTCGCTGCCTTTTGGGGTGTGGAGGGGGGAAATAGGGAAGAAAAGAGGGTGGAAAGAGAAAGGGGGGTGGTGTTTTTTTCATCCCATCCCTCTGGTTTTGTTCCCGTCTTGTTCCAAACTCCGCGAGCGGCGGTGGGTGAGCGCTGAGCCCGTGCTGGTGGGATGGAGGGGTGTGGAAACAAAACTGCTTTTCCATGGAGGAAAACAAGTGTTGGGAAGGAGGGAGAGACCCTCACTGCTGGGTGGATTCTGTGCTGCCGGTTTAGTGTGTCAGGGATGGATGTGGCAGAGAGCAGTGCTGGGTGTGCTGGTCCCGTTTCCTCCAGTGCCAGCCCAAATCCAGGAGTTTCTCCTAGAAAAAGGCACCCTCAGCTTCACAACCACCAACCTGCCACTCACCCGAGCCCACTGAGCAAAAACTGGGAGAAGGGAAGAATTTTCCAACCTCTGTTCCGCCAGGCTCTCGTTCCCACATCCCTGCTGTGCCGTTCCTCTGGGTTTCCTCAGCCTGGCACCTCCTGCCAGGTGGTTTTTCCAGCTGGGAAGTGGTGGTTTGCTGGGAGATGAAGCACTTGGAGGGAATGTTGTGACTTTGTTAGGATTTTCAGGGTGGAATATGAGGTGCAGGCTCTCTGTGTCTCGCTGCGGCTTCGGGTGTGCTCTTACCATGAAATTTGGGGAAAACAGATTCCTGGAGCTCTGTGTCTTGCTGGGGCTTCGGGTGTGCTCTCACCATGAAATACTTTGGGATTTGAGGAAAACAAACGGATTCCTGGAGCTCAGTGCCTTGCACCAGGCTCAGGGAAAGCTGGAATCGTGGATTTTCCTAAGAACTGGGTTGCACTTGCTTTGCCTAGGGACATGCACCGTGTTTGCAGCAGCGCCACGTTTATTTTTTGGGGCAAACCGAACACAACTAAAACCCAACACAATTTGACACCCATCCCACCAGGATCTCAGCCCCCGTTCTCAGGCTCTTCTCTCCCCTCTCCAGGTCCTGCTAGCGAGTCATGATGGTTGAATCTGCCTCGGAGACGATCCGCTCCACGCCCTCGGCGCAGAACGGGGTGAGCAGCCTGAGCAATCAGCCCGATGCCGGCGGCGGGGGCGGCAGCGGGGGCGGCCCCGGGGGCGGCGGCCGCGACGGAGCCGCCGGAGCCGAGGCCAACGGAGAGATGAGCCCCGTGGAGCTCCTGCACTTCCAGCAGCAGCAGGTAATGCAGGCTGACCTGTTCCTTCAAGCCCCGCTTGCACAGGCAGCGGGGTTCTGCAAGGATGCGGTTTGGGGACAACATCGGGTTTTGCAGTGATTTGTGATCGGGGTTGGGTTGCACCAGGTTTGGTCATTTGTGGTTGAGGTGCCCCAAAAATCAGGTTTGGCCATTCGTGGTGGAGGTGCCCCTGCTTGCACAGGCAGTGGGGTTCTGCAAGGATGCGGTTTGGGGACGACATCGGGTTTTGCCGTGATTTGTACTTGGGGTTGGGTTGTACCAGGTTTGGCCATTTGTGGTTGAGCTGCCCCAAAAATTAAGGGTTTGTCCTTGTCCTACATGCCTTGGGAAGCAGAGCCCATCCATCCAAACCTGTTCCTTCAAACCTGGCTTGCACGGGCAGCGGGTTCCTGCAAGGATGCGGTTTGGGGGCAGCATTGGGTTTTGCTGTGATTTGTACTCGGGGTTGGGTTGTACCAGGTTCGGCCATTCGTGGTTGAGCTGGCCCAAAAATTAAGGGTTTGTCCTTGTCCTACATGCCTTGGGAAGCAGAGCCCATCCATCCAAACCTGCTGGTTTTTTCCTGCCTGCTCTGCCCCCCATCAATCCGCGGGGCTGAGTCACCAAAAACCTTGGCTGTAACACCAGGAGCGGGTCCTGCCTGAGCGGATTTTGGTTTTCCAGGATCTGCTTTCCCGTTCCCAGCACTCCTGGACATTGAACCTCACCCACAGGACACGTGTGACAGTGACATGTGTGTGCAGCAGCTCTGGATGTGCCCCTGGGGTAGCCCCTGCCACACACGTGTCCCCTCTCAGCCCTGAGGACGTGCCTGCAGCTTACCTTTCCAAACAAACTTTGGCAAAAAAGCATCAATTTCCCTGCTCAGCTACTAAATAAGGCAATGATCCCTCTCCTCGTACGGAGATCGCCTCCCTGAGCCATAAATTCCAGCGTGAAAGCTGTAAAAAATTGCTGTGTCTGATACTTTAGTAGGGAGTGCTGTAAATCCATTACCTGGATAACAGGCGTTCCGCACGCCGCTAAGCCCCTGTTCCCCGCATCCAAAGGGTAATCATGCGTGTAATGCTGCTGCCAGTGCCCCTCTGAGGAGCTCCCTGCTCTCCCTCCTGGAATTCCAGCGGATAACGGGAGATCCGTGTGTGCCCCCAGCCAAAAAGATCAAATCGTGGCTGTGAAAGGGGGGATCTCCTCCAGAAAATCGGGATTTTCGTCCTTGTGGATTCTCCTGGTTCATGCTGATGTTTCAGTTCACCCCTGTGTTGTTTCTCCTGGTGGGAAGCTGGCTGGCATGTGGGATTATTAAAGCAGAGGGTTTGGTGTCATTTGGATTTTTTTTTTTTTTTTCCCCAAAAACACCAAGTGACACCTCCAGCGACAGCACCTGGGGAAGGAAGGGGGAGAACCCATCCCGAGGATTATCCATCTTCCTGCTTCAGGGAGCAGGCTGAGCACCAGCTGGGGTCAGGAATAAATGTCCCCACAGTGGAGTTTTGGACAATTAGGTGCTTGATGGAGGTTTTGCTCCATCCCCAGGAGCACCCAGCGTTCTCCCGGGTTTTTGGATGGCTGGGCTGCTCCGTGTTCTCACTCCCTCACCCTGCAATGGCAGCACTCCATCCTGATTCTCACTGAGCTTTGTGAAATCCCTCCAAGAAACCTTGGGAAGCCTGCAGGGGTGGGAGTTTCATCCTGGTGAGCCCAAAGCTCTGTGTCTGTGGGGATTTCTGTGCCCACATTCCACTTTTGGCCTTTTCCAGTGCCTGTCACCTCGCTGTTTTTACAAGTGTCAGGCCAGGCAGGTCTTGGCAGGGAATTTTTGGGTTAAAGCTGCTCTCCAAGGGTGCTGCCTGGAGGTGGGTGGGATGTTGAGGCCATGGGGGTGTTTGTGGGGTGCTCAGGGACCTTGTTTTGGGGTGTCCCTGCAGCAAGGATTGCTGAGGTGGGGTCACCCAGCTCTCAACATTCCTCCATCCATCCCCTCATCCATCCATCCATCCATCCATCCATCCATCC